CCAGGCTGGAACGCACCAGGCTAGCCGGCGCGATCATGCCTTTTTGCATTAAACTCGCAGATCGCTATTAGCAGGAATGATCCCTACACTGTAGACTAATACTTGGGTCATATTGGCCATGTTCTGGCCCCTTCCGGCAGGAGGTAGGGCGTCAGTTGGGATGAAGGTAGTGCATTAGAGAGCCACACGGACATCCAGTTGCATGATTACCGATTTTTTTGCATGAAATCCTGTCGCTTTTTCGGTAAATGCTCGTTTTGTGAAGAAACGACAAATGCAAATTTTTTGAAAAAATGCAAATTTCCAATTCATTAAAAATTGAAAATATTGGTCGAACGGTCGTTTTTCAAAAAATCCATGTTTATTTGCATATACAATTGCGGTTAAGGTCCGAGTTACGTACGATTTTTGGGTTGAGGAGCTGCTTGACTGTGGTTGGGTGTTCGACAGTTGAATTTAAAATCTTTAGCTCGCACGTGCATAGAGGATATCCCTGCAAAGTTTCAGCTTTCTACCTTTTATGTTTTTGTTGCAGCTATGCAATGCAGAAAACGCACACTGACGAGAGGTGTCTGTGTGTGTGTGTGTGTGTGTGTGTGTATTTCTGTGTGTGCGCTGCGCGTCTGTACCGATTTTTCATCTTGAGACCCACAAAAGCTATGGGGCTGAAACTTGGGGAGCTTAATCTAGTGCGAGCACGGGTCTCCATCTCCGGAATGGCTGCTTTTACCCGCGTGTTTCCCACTTATGGGTCCGTGAAATTTTTCCGCGGATAAGTCGCTAACTCGGGAATCAAAAAAGCTAGAAAGATGAAATTTTACAGGGACGCCCCTGACCATGTAAGTCTTAATGAGCTTCAAACCAGTCCCCGGTTACGCATGGTACCCATGTACGAGGCCGTGAAATTTTTGCTCAAGTAAGTCGTTGACTCGAAAACCTGGAAAGCTAGAAGACTCCAATTTTGAGGGGATATTCACCGTTCATGTAAGTCTTAACGAGCTCAGACCCAGGCATCGGGCATGCGCGGTACCCACTTATGGGCCCGTGGAAGTTTTTTGCGTCCTGATTGTTTGCTACAAACTGAAAGATTTCTAACACCATCTTGTTTACTACGAGCCGAAAGATTTTTATCCACAGATTTCTAACACCATCATTGTGGTGTTGGAAATTTTTCGGCTCGGAGTAAACAATCAGAGAGCAGTTCCGTCATGGATCGCTCCCTTCTAATAAGTTATTGCAAAATCACTCAACAATTAAGGTTTTCGTCATGCTGGGCAATTGATTATGCAGGTAACAATTCGTCTGCGTTTGATAGGCGTAAAAAAACAGCTCTATTGCACCACGATTTCTGGTTTTCTGAATAGGATGAAGATTATGCTGTGGATAATATTGCTGTAAAAAGTGAATAGCGGTGAGTGCTGCTTTCTTCTGGAAAAAACAGATCTCCTGTTTTCGCAGCTGCTGTATTTTAGGCTAAAGCAGTGATGTTGTATCCTTACTACTAAAACCTTAAAAAATCGGATAAATTTTTTTACTATCAACAATCAAGAAAAAAAATTTTTTTGATTTCTTGTTGAGAATATTTGAGTTAACAATCCACAGGCAACTACGGAAATTGAAACAGTGACAAATTGGCACAGTAGCTATTAATGTTTTCGTAGATTATTACTCAAAGGGGGAATAAACCGAAAGAAAAAGTCGATATAATGCGGGAGAAAATTTTACAAGATTTCTGACACAAAATCGCTTTTCCAGCAGATATGATTTAGGGGATTTGAACGATTGAAAAAGAATAGCCAAAACTATTCCCTGCTTCTTTGTTCTTCGTGAAAATTCTAACAGTAAAGGATTGTTCTGTTCAAAATTCGAAAAGCGATTACAGGATATTCCTACCGAAAGTATAAAAGATTCCTTGCACCGTTTTCGATGATGATCGAAATTATCAAAATATTATTGCATGATGAATATAATCTTTGACGATCCAAGCAAAAATATTGTTGTTTTGAACAGTTTGGTTTCCGGTACATGTTATTTTTTGTGGTTTCGTTTTATCGCAAGCCAAAAAACTATATAAATTCACCGAATTTTCTCTGTTTTATCAACACAGTGCCTTTCCCGTCAGCGCCAGACTTTTTATTTCACATTTTGTTCTTCTTACTTTTGCTTTCTGAAGAAGCTTGGGTTAAGCCGCGATATAAGGAGAAAATCTTTGACTTTTCAGTGTCAGCACAGTGAACTGCTGTATCTTTCACCGTGATTTTAACAGATCCCCCCTCTCTTCCCCACACCTTCCCCTCCCGACAACTCTCTCCCTTTCCTAGCCGCTTACCTTTTCACCATTAGCTCTTTCCCATGCAGCTGCTTATCCCTCCAACATTTAACTTTTCGTTAACACGCTTTTCTGTCAAAACACTGCTTTTTATAAGAAGCAGAAGCACTCAAGTAATGGATAGCATATGCCAAATGCAACCACCCATTGGCAAAGCTACTCATTGTTCATTCGAAAGTTGCTTAAAAGCAAGCTGATGGCTGATCTGATAAAAAACTATTGCCTTCATTGAGTGATGGATGACCATTTTCAGGATTTAGAAAATTTACGAGCGTTTAAATTTTTGACGAAATGAAATTCCTTCTGCTCGTTTGCGTTGTGGTAGCATATTTTACACAAGGAGAGTGTGCAATGTACAGGTATCAGGTATTTCCTGGAGAAACAATGACAATGAAAGTGGGATCAAATACAAAAGACGTAAAAATTGGTCTCCACGCCGTGAAAGATCGCAAGTTAATTGTCAAGGACGGGGAAATAACCGATTTCGGAGTAAGTTTATTCGCTGAGAGGTGCATGCCACTAATCCTCAAAAAAAAAAATTAACATTGGAAAACTCTGGTTCACGTTCAGCACTTAAACAAACTCTCAGAAATGGAAGCGCCTAAGTAGTAAAAGTGAAGGCACGAAACAAATCACGCAAATTAGGATTGAAAGGACTAGTAAGTGTGAGGCAATCTCAATAAGTTCGCAATATCACATTTTTGCACCTGATGTTTTGGCAGTTTTGTTATTTTCACTACTTTCCACAGCAATCATATTTGAAGTAGTTTTGCCAAAAAAAAGCTTCCCACACATTTGTCACGAAAAAAAATCGCTGAAAACCCGTGAAAAAGAGGTCGATACAAAAAATCATTTTACTGCCTTTAGGAAATTGGAGAAGAAAAGAAAGGTGCGTGCTGCTTTTAAAAGCGGATGCTCCGTAAAGATGCTCCCAGGCTGCTGCTAGAAATCGTGTTCAGTTGTGAAAAATAGTGATTTAGCTCCAAAACGTTTACTAAAAAATGAATTCTTCCACTGTACAAATGCCATGAAAAGTATGGAAAAAAGTTCAAGCTTTTTTTTTTTAAAATCTCACATCCATTTTGAATTATTTTTAAACACTCTGCAGTTTTTTAGCTTTCACTTATAGTACTTAAATCCTGAAAGCAAAAGTAAAATTGCTAGATCTAATCCTGATCCACAGCAAATTTTAATTAAAGGTTATGAAGCCATATTCAGAAAAAAAAATTTGGTGATCTACTATCGTTTGAGGGTGGAGTCTTCAAAATCAAGGATGTGTCGCAGCAAAATGCCGGTGGTTATTCCTACAGTTTGAAAGGAAATCCGAAGATGCCAATGATGAATGTTGTATCTGTGTTTGAAATATGAATGCTCCGATAGCTAATAAATGTTTTTTATAAAAGCAGTCGTAAGTTCCAAGCAAAGCGCTTCTGCGAACACATACCCAGCAGTATCGGAATCATTTTGTGCAAAGTACCGTGGGCTGGAAATGAAATAAATCTTTTCAAGCATAACGAAGTAAACATTGATATTACCCAAGCACCTGACGATCTGATTTTCTGTTACAGTTTCTGAATATGACGATTTTATAGATTTTGGTTAGACGGCGTTCCGCGTATTGCTACATATTCCCCATATGAATTACTAATATATTTTTTGGTGGTATAAGAGAAATTCACAAGTAGTTTATTACTACCTCAGTAGAAAGGAGAACGAATAAAATAAATGGCAATGCGCACCAGACTAGCCGGTGCGATCATGCGTTTTGTGCAATTCAGCCGAT